TTGTCATTTCATCTCTGTTTTCTGGCCTTCCGTAGTTCCATTAAGTTGTTTTATTGCTCAAAATTTTTCCAGTTACTATTCATGTCCCATGATACTGGATAGTGGATAAGTATACTTATCTTCATGGATGGATTCATATACACGAGGATTAGTTAGATATAATCATGTCTCACTTATTACAAAAAACGACAAATTTTCTTCCACTGTATTGGAGTGCTGTGATTCTTCATTCAACCATCTTCTGTGAGAAGAGTCTTCTGAGAATTGCAACACTTGTTATAATCAAGTAACTCAATTGATGATTTAGTCTAACTGCACGAATAGGGTAAAAATGCATTGATAAACCGGTTACCCAGGGGTGTGTAATCGAGCCGAATAGTTCAAGCTCGAAACTCAGCTCGACTAAAAACTTGGCTCGTGTTCGACTCAAGCCTTCATTTTCAAGCTCGAGTTCAAGCTTGATGAAGTAATCTTGACTTTTGCGCTCGACTCGATTCGATTAGCAATTAAAATAAAGATTAAAAGTCTAAATATAAATATTCTCGATTAAGCTCGCTAGTTTCCCTAGCCGAGTATTCCAATACCCAAGCTTGACTCGATAATGTACTTAGGTAGTTTGTCTCGAACTGAATCGATTTCAAGTCGGTCTCGAATATCTCACGAATAGTTTCGATTCAGTTAGAACCCTGCCCCTATCGGTTACGAAAGTACACACTATTATGTGATTCAATAGATAAAGTTGGTATCTACTCATTTAACTGGAATATGTAAGGCAATAGTACACAGTTATGCTTATATATGAAAGTGAAATATGACCCTATTCTAGTATATATCACATTTAAGGTTATTAATTTAGCAGAACTATTTATTAATCAAACAATAATTAATAAATGATTTCTTTTTTGTTTTTACTACATGTTGCCTACTACAAACACATCAAACACTACCATTTTGTCATTTCAGTCAATCCTTAAATATGTATCGTAATTCAAGTAATTTAAATGAGATGATGAATGTTAGTTAATCACATATTCAATAATTTTCTATTTGGAATTGTATGAAATATTATTTGATGTTGACAAACCTAAATACCCTAAACGTTAAACAATAATAGACTATGGCAAACCCAAATACCCAATGGAGTTAGCGAATTCATCCTTGATGATACGTAAGGTCTAGAACCAAGATTGTTGAAACAAAAACCAATGATACGACTTTTTCAGATCCCTTCATGGCAAGTGGTGACTCTTTTAAATCCCTTACCCTTCGACTTTAAGTACCTTATATTAATAAAACAAAAGATAAACCGACTAAAAGTCCTAAACAAAACCGCTGCTTTGATGCGTATATTTTTTCAAGAAATCTGAAAAAAAAAAAAAACACATCAATGTACTTGTTTTGAGTTCAACATCATAAAGCTTAAACATATAGACAAACATATATAACATATTTTATTGTGTAAAATTAAATGTGAAAAATATCATAAAATTAACACGGTGGCCGGAACTCGGAATCCGATGTATATGTTTGGAATACGTTTTCCAGAGTTCGATGAACATGCTTGAAATACGTCTTCCGGAGTCCGATATTCTTGTTTTCATTATAAATTAAGCTAATGATATTGAAAAGAAACTTACAAAAACGTAATTAAATCTCGATAAATTAAACGTCATAAAAGCCAGGGTGTAATTTGTCTAGAAATATTTCGCTGAAGATATAATTTTTGTTCTCTAAAGATTTTTTAGTGAAAGACAGAAAGAAGATAATATAACATCTAATTATATATTTGTTTTCTTTAACTTAGTTGTGTTGTGCCCCTAGAAGGTTCTTTTAACTTATTTGTCTAGTGGCCAACTAGCACACGTATTTCCTCAAATGTCACTAACATGGTGCCACGTGTTTGACCATCTTACGATTAAATGTTGAAAAACGAACTAAGAAGAACCATTTATCTACTTAGGCAAATTAGCCCGTTACTCAATGTTCTACTGGTGTATAATAGCTGTATCAACTACCACTATATATACAATCGCCTCAAGTTTCATTACTTAATCCATATCACACCAAAAAGATAATCATGGATTTACTTCTATCATTCATAACCTTTACAGCAAGTATATCTTGTTTCCTGTTTTTTGGTCATCTGGCATGGATAAGAAGTGGAGCTAAGACGAGCAGCAAAGGATTAGGAAAGACAGTACCTGAAGCACCAGGCTCATGGCCGATAATTGGTCACCTGCATCTTTTATCTGGTTCTCAAGTTCCTCACAAACTCTTGGGCTCTATGGCCCACAAGTTTGGACCAATATTCACCATCAAACTTGGGGTTAATCGAGTCCTAGTTGTGAGCAATGCAGAAATGGCTAAAGAGTGCTTAACCACCAACGATAGAGTCTTTGCAACCAGACCAAAATCCATGGCAACTGAGCTGATGGGCTACAATTATGCTAATTTCTCCCTTTCACCACATGTATCATACTGGCGTGAGATACGGAAGATAGTTGTTCTTGAACTTGCCTCTCATCATCGCCTTCAAATGCTATCACAAATCCGAGCCTCTGAATTGAAGTCATCCATTGTAGACTTGTATAAAGATTGGAAGACAAATAAAGGGTCTTCTGAAACGATAAAGGTTGATATGAAACAGTGGTTCGGGAACTTGATTCTAAACATGACTGTGAGGGTGATCTTTGGGAACCGATTTTCACATGGCGAACAAAAGGAAGATGATCAATTTAAGATTTCTATTAGGCGGTTGTCAGAACTATTGGGTGCGTTTGTCCCTTCTGATGCGATTCCATGGTTGAGGTGGATGGATATAGGAGGGTATGAGAAGAAGATGAAGAAGACAGCTAAAGAATTGGATGTTGTAATTGAAGGATGGTTAGAAGAGCATAGAAAGAAGATGAACTCAACACAACATGTAGATGAGAGGGAAGAAGAAGAAGCCTTCATGTCCGCTTTGTTGTCTCGTGTTAAAGAAGTTAAAAAGGATAATCTTTCTGGCTTCAGCACTGATGTGATTGTGAAAGCTACATGTTTGGTACTATTTTTTGGTAATCCTTAAGTTACATATATATCAAAAGACACAGTTGTGAGTTTTTGTTGCTTTTCTCAGGCACTTTTAGCTGCAGCAACCGATACCACAACAATTACTCTAACATGGGGTTTAGCTTTACTAGTCAACAACCCTGTTGTGTTAAAGAAAGCCCAAGAAGAGATCGAGAAGCATGTAGGACAAGATAGAATGGTTGAAGAGTCGGATTTGAAGAACTTGGTCTATCTTCAAGCCATTATCAATGAAACAATGCGACTTTACCCAGCTGCGCCACTTTCTGTTCCTCATGAGTCTACACAAGACTGCATCGTAGGTGGTTACACTGTTCCTAAAGGGACTCGACTTTTGGTAAATATTTGGAAGATTCAACACGATCCTGAAATATGGGAAGATCCATTTGAATTCATACCCGAGAGATTCTTGACAAGCAAAAAGGATATCGATATCAAGGGTCAACATTTTGAGTTGATTCCATTTGGTAGTGGTAGAAGAATGTGCTTGGGAATCTCGTTCGCTGTAAATGCTTTGCAGTTGATATTGGCCAATATCATACATGGATTTGAGTTAAAAAATCCATCATCTGAAGCGGTCGACATGACTGAAAGCCCTGGATTGACAAATCTCAAAGCCACTCCACTTGAGCTTTTAATTGCCCCACGGATATTGCCGGATTTTAACTTAGTGCCGCCTTAGGGCTCCACCACTCCACTGAGCTCTTTGTTGTACAGTGATTTGAGTTGGATGCCTGTCATGTAGCGTTTATCCCTATTGTTTTTATACAACCAACCATATTATAATTGAGGTATGTACAATAATTAAAAAGAATTGCATTTAGCATCAATAGATAAGGTGGTTGTTCATGGTTCTTGAAATAAGAAAAAAAGGCTTCTACTAACACTGAAAATCATACATTTGTAGATTATTTGAAATTAAACTTACTTGAGAACGTTCAAAGAACAAAAATTTGAGCAAATCGCTCAAATACCTCAAACTACTTTACCTGAAACAACGAAAAAAAATGGTCAAGGGCATTCAAAGAGAGTGCTATTTTTTGATTTGGTTGCCACATGAAAACTTGAAAGATGTAAAAGAAAAATACCAAAGGGCCGGGTAGACGTTATCGGCGAGTTCCCAAGGGAATCCAATGTATGAATCTTGAAACAAACGAATCTTTGATAAATATGGATTGCCAGGTTGTTGGATATGTAGAGAATTTACCCAAAGCTTTTCTCATGTACTTGTTTTGAAGCTGTCAAAATTAAAAACAAAAAAAAAATTGAACTTATTTTCTTTTGTGGGGAAAAAATTAAATTTCGATATGTCAACGTATCATGTTAGCATGCCAGATTATCAAAACTGACACAACATCAAACCACGTCAGCAGGTAATCGGATTGATCGGTCAAGTGGTCAGAATTGTAAAAAATTAAAAAATACAGTGTCTCATTTGAGACAAAAAAACATAATATCAAATTAGAAATTTTGTGTAAATTTAATGTCTTTTGTGCTATTTTCATTATAGGATGCCCAACCGTCCACTAAAATAGTGGAATGCCGGCAATTTTTTTCCAATCGTACACGATATTGAGCGGTATTATAGTGTGAAAAAATTTGGCCGCCGGATATAGGGCTATCCTTGTGCAACACCAAACTTGCTTTTTCCCAATATTAAATTCAATAGAATTGGTTTAAATAAATTAAATTGAATTATAAAATAATAAGCGAAATATTTTTATAATATAACATTATTTAAATAAGTTTTTAGTATAAAAATTTAGTGTGTTTTTGGAGTGAAAATATTTTTGTGTTAAAAAGTCATATTTTTGTGTTTTTTTAGTGGTTATGGTTAGAATTGGCCTAAGCCAATTTTTCCTATATAATCATATATAGTCTACAAAACCCTATCAGTAAAAAATTGAAATCTCTATCGCTATTATAAACAAGTAGGCTTTGCGATATTAAAATTTTATAAAACATACATGATACATGATCATAATGATTGTTTTACATGCCATATCCATCCTGTTTATTATGTTGATAGTTAAATAATAACAAGGCTAAAGGCCAACCAAATCACGATAAGCTTACAACATGCAAACTAAGTTACTAAGGGCAGCCAATCAATCAGGGTTGGAGGACTAAGGTGACACTCGGTAAAAATCTGTCAAAAAGCGCGGCGCAACAAAGAGCTCAAGCGGAGTGGCTTTGTGATTTGTCAATCCAAAGCTTTCAGTCATGTCGATCTTCTCAGACAATGGATTGTGGAAATCATATGCATGTATTACGTTGGCTAATATCATCTGCATAGCTTTTAGAGCAAAAGAGATTCCCAAGCATATTCTTCTACCACTTCCAAATGGAATCAACTCAAAATGTTGACCCTTCACATCAATTTCCTTTTTGCTTGTCAAGAATCTCTCGGGTTGGAATTCAAATGGATCTTCCCATATTTCAGGATCATGTTGAATCCTCCAAATATTTACCAAAAGGCGAGTCCCTTTAGGAACAGTGTAACCACCTACGATGCAGTCTTCTGTAGATTCATGAGGAACAGAAAGTGGCGCAGCTGGGTAAAGTCGCATTGTTTCATTGATAATGGCTTGAAGATAGACCAAGTTCTTCAAGTCTGACTCTTCAACCATTCTATCTCGTCCTACATGCTTCTCGATCTCTTCTTGGGCTTTCTTTAACACAACAGGGTTGCTGACCAGTAAAGCTAAAGCCCATGTTAAAGTCACTGTTGTAGTATCAGTGGCAGCAACAAAAATTGCCTTAAAAAATCACAAATTAAGTTAATTCTCAACTGTTTATGAATGACGCCCAACAACAGGGACTAAGAACATAAGGGATTAATTACAAAGTAATACCAAGCATGTAGCTTTCACAATCGCATCAGTGCTGAAGCCATAAAGATTCTCTTTGAATTCTTCTTTAATTCGGGACAACAATGCCGCCATTAGAACTTGGTGTTCCCCTTCATCTTCCTGTTGCGTACAACTCATCTTCTTTCTGTGCTCTTCTAACCACCCATCAATTACAACGTCAAAAGCTTTTGCTGTCTGCTTCATCCGCTTCTCATAGCCTCCTAAATCTAGCCATCTCAAGGCTGGAATGGCATCAGATGGCACGAATGCACCGAATAGTTGTAAAATGCTTCTGATAGTGTTCTTAAGCTCATCTTCTTTTTGTTCACCAAGTGACAAGCAATTCCCAAATGCCACCCTCAAAGTCATGTTTAGACTTAAGTTCCCAAACCAATGCTTCATGTCAACCTTTACCGTTTCAGAAGACCCTTTATTATTTCTCATCCAATTTTTGTATATGTCTATTATGGATGCCTTCACTTCAGAGGTTCGGATATGTTGTAGCATTTGAACGCGATGTTGAGACCCCAGTTCAAGAACAATTATCTTCCGCATCTCACGCCAGTATGATACATGTGGTGAAAGTGCGAAATTAGCATAGTTGTGGCCCATCAGCTCACTTGCCATGGATTTTGGTCGGCTTGCAAAGACTCTGTCGTTTGTTGCTAAGCACTCTTTAGCCATTTCTGCATTGCTCACAACTAGGACTCGATTAACCCCAAGTTTGATGGTGAATATTGGTCCAAACTTATCTGCCATAGAGCCCAACAGTTTGTGAGGAACTTGAGAACCAGATAAAAGATACAGGTGACCAATTATTGGCAATGAGCCTGATGCTTCTGGTACTGTCTTTCCTGTTGCATTTCTGCTTCTGTGAACTCCAGTTCGAATCCATGCAAGACGAGCAAAGAGCAGAAAAGAAAACATACTAGCTATTAAGGTTATGGATAGTTGAAGTAAATCCATGATAATCTTTGTGGTGCGAATTGCGATGGATTGTTTACGGAATCTAAAGATCTAGTATAGAGGGGATTGTAGGGTTTCATATTTATCATAGACGTACACCACAAAATTATTAAGTGCTGTTGATAAACTGACTAATCAAGTTATTGGTTCTTTTCCTTAATTTTTCAAGATTTTATGATGGCCAAACACGTGTGGATATGTTGTCCCACTAAACAATAAGTCAAAAGAATTTTGTTCGACTACAAATATTATTTTGAACCATACTTTTTTAACTTTTTGCAAAAATTTATAGAAACCACATGTTGCACTTCGAGGATAGTGTTTAAATGTATGGATAATGGGTAACAAACTTCATTTTGATTAATTCAAATTTTTTTGTCACTAAACTATTGAAATTGTTCATATTTTATCCTTATAATCGGTAACCGGTCATAACGGTAAAATGTGAACAGTTTCAATAGTTCAGTGATAAATAGATAATGAAAAAAAGTTTAGTGATTAAATGTGAACAAAATCGAAAGTTTTTTCCTTCTAAAAAAAATTCAATGACTAAATGTGAACAAACTTACTCTTGTATTATATTTTAACAAATTATTTATTTTTGTTAAATTCTAACAACATTTGTTGACGAAGAAATCTATGAAATAAAAAAAAACCCCAAAAAATATATTAAAAAAAACGAAAAACCGAAACTGAAATAAAAACCAATGGTTTGGTATTTTTCAAAATAAAAAAATCAAAATTTTCATTCTGATTTTGGTTTAACAAAAAAGTGAACCATTCTCACCCATAACTATTAAGAAATTGTGTTTCATGGTCAGAAATTACGTTGTATTCTGAAAAAAAAAACCTTGTTTTTTCTAAAATAGCTATTTAAATATGAATTTGTTTTTTCTAAAACCTTTTAAAATTATGAGCGATTTTTTTGAAAAAAAAATAACGTTGTTTTAATTGTTGAATTTATAGCTATTTTTTTCTAAAAAAATATTTTTGTAAAGGTAATATGGATGAGGTGGTTTGGACGCAACATTTTATAAAACATATTAACGGTTTTACTTAACTCTATATGTGTAGTTAAATAATCATAAATTTCAATAATTATTCAAACTTTTTAAGAAAATACAATCTCAAATATAAATCAATTGTCTGGAATAATTAAAAATATCTAAATATAAATAACTTGACTTTTATTTTCGATATCATTTTTAATAGTAAATATACTAATATGATGTATGTCAATACATGGAGTATAACAATACATATAATGTATCAATGTACGTATGTATGTTTTTATAAATAATGTATATTGTTTAATGTATGTCAATTTATATGTTACATAATTTTATAACACAAAATTCATACATATAATGTTAGGATAATTTTTATACATATAATATTGCATAGTTTTGTAATATAAAACTTATACATATAATGTTGGTTTCGTTTTTCGTTTTTTATACCTTTTTCGGGGTTTTTTTTCATAGATTTATTCATCAACAATAGCAATAATACATAATTTGCTAAACCATAATACAATAAAAAACTTTCTTCACATTTAGTTATTGAATTTTTTTTAGGGGGAAATGAACTTTCAACTTTGTTCACATTTAGTTTAGTCTCTAATTTTTTTTTTCATTATCTATTTGTCACTGTATTATTGAAATTGTTCATATTTTACCCTTATAACCGGGTGTTACCGGCCATAAGGGTAAAATGTGAACAGTTTCAATTGTTCAGTGGCAAATAGAAAATAAAAAAAAGTTTAGTGACTAAATGTGAACAAAACCGAAAGTTTGTTACCCTTTCAAGTCATTATCCCTTAAATGTATGTAACAACTACAATTAAAATCAATGGTAATGCAAGAAAATCATATAGTATTTTTTTTTTCACATTTTTTAAATAAGCTATCGGAGGAAATTTGTTGACATTAGAGATGTGGATCACTTGCTAATTAATGCTTTTGTTTTTCCAGTTTTTGAGGTAATCTTTTGCTGAACCTGACAATCTAACATGTTACTATTTTTATTGTTGTTTAGTTCGTCGTTCAATCAACCTTCCCATTCGGTTGCTCTAGTAGGCAACCACCATAACCAGAAACCCATGAAACACCTATGATGAACCTTACTCTCTTACTACCTTTTTGCACCACCATCGTCTTGTTGTATTTCCGACTTGGTACACAAACAATTTGGTAACTTGTATTGCATGCTTACTTCGAATTGTTAGTGAAATTCAAGTCAATTGAGAAATAATATTGTGAATTATATGTGGATTAGTCGCAAACAATAAGTTCAATTATTTTCATCTAAAACATAATTTAATCATTTGCGATTAGATCTGATTGTAAAAATGTATTAGAAGACTATATTGTTGTCGGACAAATTAAAAATGTGAGACAAAAATCAAAACCAACCTTTATTTTTGCTTATCTCTAGTCTCTAGTATAATAGTTGAAATTGCACATAATGACTCCTATCATTAAAGGTTTCTACGTCGCTCTAGAGATGTATGTTTCAGAGTAAAATCTTAGGATATAATGCATATTATCGCTCTTTCCAACATCTATGGAAGAACTGATAAACACAAAACAAATACTTAGAAATGTGGAATTGCTAAAATCATTGAGAGAAGAGAGTAGATCTATATATTGGGGGTGAGGTGTATAACTCTTACGAGAGTTGTATTTAAAGTCGTAGAATCCCTAAGAAACTCCAAAAAAATCCAAAATTTTGACGACAACGGACCTTTCATGTCTCGCCACGTGGAACACAAAGTATATCCATATATGTGGTAGCTTGTTCTTGAAGAAAAGCGTTTCTGGAGGCTTCTAGAAGTTTCCACAAAGTCAACACTAATCAACATGCTGACCGGGTCACTCCAACCCAATATGATCTGATATGTTTTTTGTGCCTAGATAGCACCATTTCGCGAACCTCACATCCTCGACATGTGTGTCATATTTTCACATCTCTTATCCTTCACTAATGACTAAGAAGACTTACTAATAATAATATTCTCATGAAGACACTTTATGTTCTTCCCCAATAATAAGGTTCAGTGGGAAACTTGCTTACTTGCAAATAACCCATTAATTTCCAAAAATCCCTTTCGGATCGGAAAGTTTTTTTTTTTTTTTTTTTTTTTTTTTTTTTTTTTTTTTTCCATTCAGACATATGATCTCAAATGGGTGTCACTGAAATCAAACACATGTTTAATAATAATAAACAAGAAGAGAATGATTCAATGGTATTATGGATTTAAACCAAGAACCTAGTAATGATATGATCATGCATTATAAACCATTTTCATGACCCTCTAGAAGATAGGTCTGAAAATTCTTGACACGATCCGTGACACGAAATAAACAGGTTTGGGTTGAGTTTTTCAACCCGCCAACCCGTCAACCCATTTATTAAACGGGTCATATATGAGTTTCTAAAAAAAATGAAGAACGACAACATGAATGATTGAATCATTATCGAATGACATCGACGCCTGGATGTGAACGACGAACGCACAATGCAGTAAACAATCGATTTGTTGTGATCCAACCCATGAAAACACGAACCCAAATCTAATGTAACATCCATAAAATTTCAGTAAAATTTAAACTTTCCAAAACAATCATTTATCAATAGAAGTGTTTACAAAACCATTGTTTCCAAAACATTTATTTAAAACCGGAATCATAAAACATTCATATTATCATAGTTTCCCAAAAATCATAAATCCAAAACACAAGGATGTGTACAGTCACACCTTGGCCTTGCCAAAACATCTGAAGCACCTGAAACAATAAACTAAAACCATAAGCATAAAGCTTAGTGAGTTCACCTAAAATACCAACACCATACAAACCATAACCATATCATAACAAATAAACATCATGCATATAGAGTCTACAGTATGACTGGATTGCCCCCACCGGGCCTGCAGTCTATCTGGCCCACTCTCAGAACATTCAGCATGTCTGGTCTGCCCACTCGAGCCTTCAGCCTGTCTGGACTATTCTCCGGGCCTTCGGCCTAACTGGTATGCCCTAATGGGTCTGCAGTCTATCCGGTCCGCCCTGGGTCTGTTGGCCTTCAACACAAAGTAGGTCCCACCTCAACCCAACCACACATATATAATCAACATGCAAATATCATACACTAGCTAGAATGTACAAACAGTCAAACCGATTTAACAGATCACTCATAACATGATCCTATATACTAGGATGCCGACCTAACCGGTTACTAACATAGCATTATCATATATACCAAGATACCGACCCAACAGGTCACTAACATAACATTATCCTATATACCAAGATACTGACCTAACAGGTCACTAACATAGCATCAACATGCAATAATCAGGATAACAATCCAAAAAGGGTCGACATTGGTACCTTCGACCCTGTTAGTATATTGAGGACAAAACACCTCACAAGTAGTGCTGAACTATCCAAAATAACAAATACTAAGTCAACAATTGGAATATTAATCTTGACCAAGGGTCCTACATAGGGTAATAGTCTATTTTCCCTTTCTCTAATCTGGGCCAAGGCCCAATTCCAAATCCATAATCCAAAAGTCCAAATATAAAAGCCTATCATTGGTCCAATTTTCCCAATTGGGCCCAACTCTTTAATTGGGCCTCATCCTAAGATCCATATCCAAAACTACACCAAAACACAGCTATTCAGAAAGTCCAGCAAGGCCCATGACAAACTGGCCCAAAAGTGGCCCACTCTCGAAGCTCAAATCGCTAAAAGCCCAACAGTAGACGTACGTTAGGCATACACCGAAGCTAGACAGAGCGTACGCGGCCTCATGTTGACTGGAAAGCGGGAACGTTGACTGCGTACGGAGGGCGTACTGATTTCACGCGGGGTGTACGCAAGCTTTACCAAAACTCTAATAAGTACTTAATGGCTTAAGCACTTAAGCCCAAATTCTAGATCCACCGACCAAATGTGTCTTAGAACCATAAAGTCTCAAACTTTAAGACTTTGGACGTCCATAAAAATCTTAATGCAAGGTCTTAATCCATGAAGACCTCTCTACCACGTGCATGAGACACTTCTAGCCATTGGGACCTCATTGTTATCACTTAGGACCCTTCCTAGGGTCTGAAAGGACAACTT